ATTATTTACTCTATTCAGACGACTTGAAACTACCGTAAAATCTCCTGTTTATCGGATACATTGTTGTTGCAGGAAAACTTGAACGCTCTTACTGATTTGGCTCTCCAAAATAAATTGCGTCTCAACACCAGTAAATGTTGTCAGATGGTGCTCTCCAAGTCTTTGAATGTGCATTCCTCGACCTATTCTGTCTCAAATGCAGCTCTTGCCTCTGTTAAAGAATTTCGGGATCTTGGAATTATTTTTGACTTGTCCTTTACGTTCGGTAACCACATTAATTTTATTATTCCGAAGGCTTATGCTAACTTAGCTTTTCTGAGACGCTATGCCAGTAAAGACCCTTACACAAGATAAATCGTATATAATTCTTTAGTGCGATCGAAGTTCGAGTATGCCTCAGTCATCTGGAATCCGATGTATTCCTCACACTCTTTTAGAATTGAAAGAGTTCAACGCAGGTTTCTTCGTTTTGCTCTTCAACCATTTCAGTTTGATAATCCCTTGCCACCATACAATGCTAGGTGCATGCTCATCAATGTTCTTTCGCTCGAAGTTAGACGTTCAAAACTTAATGTTTATATACGATATAATTTCCGGTACAATTGACTGCTCAGATCTACTTGGGCAGTTAAGTTTCAATGTTCCTGAGTACTTCGCTCTCACAACCTATTTCATACTGAGATTTTAAGATCGAACTACTTTAGATTTGCCCCTCTTATAAGAGGGCTTAATGAGTTTAATCGGCTTTCTAGAACCATTGATCTTGATTTTGCGATGCCAAGGTCTTTATTCAAGTCACGCATATCCTTAAATTAGCTGTTAAATTATTATTAAGTATCTATCTTAATCTAGTCAGTAAGGTTTGTTACCATTGACTTAATAAAATGAAATGAAATATACAAAGTAAGAGGAAAAGCGAAGTGGTTTTGATATTCGTAGCATGGTTTTAGGCATATATGCACTATACTAGTATATTAATAAAAAGCAAGGCGAAAAAATACTGAAATCATTTTAACTTGGGTCCGATGACAACTGATGAATATACATACATGCATATATGTACATATCAGAGATTGGCAAACGATGCTGTTTTTATGACTTTAAGCCTGGTCACATTAAAAACGGGGGATGAACGAACACCAGCGTATAGCGTGCAGTGCAAATACAGCCACCGCAAGTGAACGATACTTATAACAACTCGTACTGATGTTGACTTCGGCACACCAGTATTCCGAGTGAACGTGCACGAAACCAGCAACCGCCGTATTTGATTGACTGCCAAAAGCACGATACTGCATTTGGACGGTTGCCGAAAGCATGAGAGCTCATTTGGACGGTTGGCGAAGGCAAGACGCAGCAGGTCATTTGTTGCAGAAGTCGTTTGACTTGTTGCTGAAAGCCATTTGATTTGTTGCTGAAGGCATCAAACGTTGCCGAAGTCATGATACTGTATTTCAAAAACAATTCAACGACATTTGCTTGTTTGAAATGAAGCATTGGTATGTACATACATACACACATACATACGTACGCATTCACATTCCTCACAACTAGCCTGCCAACACGCTCTTGGCGCCAGCAGTGAGTAAAGCAATTGAATGGCAGACGCGCTATAAATACATACATACGAGACGATAAATTACCCTTTACTACAATCGTCGTGCTTTCGGCAAAAAGTCAAATGGCGTTCAGCAACAAGTCAGGTGACCTTCAGCAACAAGTCAAACGACTTCTGCAACAAATGAACGGTGGCGTCTTGCTTCGCCAACCGTCCAAATGAGCTCTCATGCTTTCGGCAAATGCCGCGTTTGCTAGTTTAGTGAACGAGCATTCGGAAAACTGGTTTGCCGAAGTCAATATCAGTATGAGCTGTTATAAGTATCGTTCACTTGTGGTGGCTGTATTTGCAAGACAGCACGCTATGCGCTGGTGTTCAGTCATCCTCTAATTTCTTTTAGGCATCGATACTACTAAGTCAACGCGCTGCTCAGTTATACAAAGCAGCAGTATTGATTGAGTATGCAATAGTTGGCGTTCAACGCATGGCAGTCTCTGATGCATCACACTTTTGCTAGGTTATTTAAGATGGCAATGGAAATATGCCTTCTGACAACTTCCAAACCGTAATATTAGAAGAGAAATGCATAACTGAAAATCGTGAACGTGAACTGTTGGTGAAAATGTTGGACCAAAATGTTTCAAAACAAAAAAATTATTTTGGGCGGGACGAAGTAGGCCGGGTCTGCTAGTTAAATAATAAAAAAATGTATAGGCAAACCTTGTCAATATGTGAGTGGCTTATAATCGTGAAACATATAAAGAATATAAACCCAAATTTTATTAATATACTTTTAACCAATGCTGGAATGTAGGGAACATTATCTTGTTTATTGCGCTGACTTTACAACTAATACTACTGCAACGTTTTCAATTCAATTCAATTCATCTTTATTCAGTCTATGATTAAAAATCTTACAGACTAGATTACACAGATTACAAAAATAAGTATTATACGATAATAGCGTTAACATAGCAGTGCATGAACTAAACCTAAGAGTAAAACGATTCAAGCGTGAACTTAAATAAGGATCTTGATGATGAAAATTCGATATCGATCTTCTTAGAGATGTTATTAACTTCCGAGAGCGCTCTAAATATAGGCGCTAACGAATAGAAATTTTCCTTAACTACACTAAGATAAAAGGGAGGTTGAGATCGTAAGGTTCTGTGAGGAACATTGAAATTTATTAGCTCTAGTAGTTCAGGGCAATCGATCTTCCCACAGACCAAATCAAAGAGAAACATAAGGAGCTGAATAATTCTTCTTTTTTCTAATGACTGCAAATTTATTAGCTGACAGCGGGCCGCATAGGGCGGAAGCGGGTCGGAAAAATTAAGTGGTTGAAGAGCAAATCGAAGGAACTTTCTTTGAACCCGTTCGATTCTCATAGAATGACAGCTATAAATAGGACTCCAAACGACTGACGCATACTCTAATTTTGAACGTACTAACGAGTTAAAGAGAATTTTCCTAGTGTAAGGGTCCTTAAAGTCCCTCGCATATCGACGTAAAAAAGCTAAGTTACTATACGCCTTTGGAAGCAAATAGCATACATGGTTTACAAAAGTAAAACCCGAATCAAAGACTACACCCAGATCAACAAAATCATTGACCAAAATGAGCTTCTGATTTAAAATTGAGTAACACGAAGCCAATTTACAAGGGGATCTAGAAATTGACATATGGAAGCATTTTTTTATATTGAGCGATAGCTTATTAATTATACTCCAACTGACTAAATTATCCAAATCATGCTGCAGATAGAGGACATCGGACGGACAAGTTATTTTACGAAACAATTTGAGATCATCGGCGTAAAGAAGATATCTGCAATGTTTGAAGCAAGTACCAATATCATTAATAAACAGAATAAATAAAAGAGGGCCTAGGATGCTACCCTGAGGAACACCTGACGAAGCAACAAAGGACTTGGATTTATAATTTTCAATTTCTACAAAAAGAGTTCTATCTGTAAGGTAAGATTTCAACCATGACAGGAAAACAGAATGAAAGCCCATACACTGCAGTTTACTTAGCAAGATAGCATGTGAAACTTTATCAAACGCTTTCGAAAAGTCAGTATAAATAGTATCGACCTGACAACCGCTTTTAAATGCTGAGACACAGTATTCCGAAAATACCGCTAAGTTAGTGACTGTGGAACGACCACAAACGAAACCATGTTGCTGGGGCTCCACTATACTTTTACAAACGAAAGAAAGTTTATCCTTAACCACTTTTTCAAACAGCTTAGAGGAGACCGTTAGTTTGGAAATAGGCCTATAATTAGATACATCATTTCGGCATCCCGATTTAAATATCGGAGTGATGGATGCCACCTTCCACCGACTGATAAAAACACCTGTAGAAAGAGAGAGATTAAAGATTTTACATAAAGGAACACAGATGGAAGACCTGCACTGTTTCAAGAAATATGCACAAAGACCATCATTGTCACATTTAAGGGACGACTTTATGGAAGAAATTGCATTTATAATGTCAAGCTCCGATATGGAGAGCGCTCCAAAGTCTAGCCGTTGAGCTGGACAGATAGGAGGGAATGTACTAACAGGTATATCATCACAGAAATTGGATTTGAAGAAATCCGCGAAAAGGTCGACTGTATCAGCTAAAGATTGAGAACTATTGCTATTAAAATTCATGCATGTTGGTATGTTTGAACAACCTTTTTTGGAGCGAATGAAGCTCCAAAAAGCTTTCGGATTTTCTTTTAGCTCAAATTCAAACCTACTAATATATTGATTATAAAGAAATTTATCGAGGACATTAAACTGTTTCATGAGAGACACATATTTATCTTTCAAAATATTGTCATTTCTATTGGCAATATACAATTTGTGGTATTTATTCCGTTTGTTTTTTAAATTTTTAAGATTCGGGGTGTACCAAGGTAATTTGTGGATTCTGGGCGGAAGGATAGAAAGATTATTAGAAAATATATTTGATATTATCTGCAAAAAGACTTCATAACACTCACTAACATCTTCTGAATAAAGGAGATTACTCCAGTTTATGTCAGAGATGGTACAACCCAAAGCAAGGAAATCTGCATTTCGAAAGTCGTAAGACACCGGTTTCTTGGGTTCCATTGTAATACCCTCAAAGAAATTCAGAGTTAAGCTAAGCGGATTATGGTGCTTATCGGTCTTACCGATTGGCGAATCACATTCACAAAGATCGCAAATTAAATTTTCATCCACAAAAACAAGATCCAGTATTTTAAACAGCCTATTAAAAACAGTATTAATCTGGGTAAAATTCAAACTAAAAAAACTATCCAATAGATGGATTTCATGAGCTCTATTAACTTTAGTTGGAGTCAAGATACCTTTATGTTGTAGATCAGACCAGCTAATGTCTGATAGATTAAAATCCCCTAGAATACAAAAATTACATTTTTCATTACAATCACAGAGGCTAACAATATTTTCTACGTGATCATTATATAAACTATCGGAACTATTAGGTGGAATGTAAGATACACAAATGAAAAGTTTACCAAAGGAGCCAAAAATGCACACACATAATTGATCCAGAAGAGAATCCTGGTTAAAAAGTAGAAACAACGTAGAACTTAAACTGCGTTTTACAGCTATTAAAACTCCGCCGCCTTTTAAATGACCAGTTTTCACCGCATCCCTATCCTTGCGATATGTCTGGAACAGGCTCGGATCAAAATACTCCTCGTCAAAGAAATCGTTATTGAGCCAAGTTTCGACCAAAACGTAAACATCATATTCGACACGAGACGTAGCTAAATATACATCTTTCGATTTTGTGCGCATGCCAGACATGTTTTGGAAGTATATTTTTAGACCTTTGAACGCTGATTCATAGGAGCTACGTGATACGCTTATTTCGTCGGTTCTGAGTTTCCCACTTTTTGAAAAAAACGAAAAGGTCTCACATTAATCTCCGACGGCCAAACATTAGGATTAAGGACTTGGTCATAAAAAGCTGGCTCAACACCAAACTTGAAATTAATACTCCGCAAATTATTCATATCCGCATCCTTCTTAACAAGCTTATGGCAAGCGAGATGTATGCGGTCAATTCCAGAATGTTTGGACACGTACGAAATTACACTCTCCTCGCTGACGGTCGGCTTAAAGGAGGAGACATGCACCCATTTCTTCCTAACAACAACATCCAGTTCAACATTTTCATTGCGACCAATGATATTTCTTTGCTTGGAACCTTTTTTATGACGCACAGTATTCCAATCATTTTGGCCAGCAACAACCACATCAGTCTGAGCGCCAGAAGCATTAAATGCATCTATTGCCTGCAGAGCAGAACCAGACAAAGCAGCGGGAGAGCCAATTAGCGCGCAAACAGGTGCAGTAGACGTTGAGCAAAGAGTAGTAGGCAGCGCAGCCGACGCAGCAGCTGAAATAGGCAAATACGAAGAAGTAAAGATAGCTGGATTAGGTGCAGAAGCAGCAGCATAAGAGAGATTTATAGTGGACGTTTGCAAAGAGTGAGACGTTGAAACAGCAGCAGAAAATGGAATAGCAGCAATCATCCGAGTTGGCATCGCAGTCACAATATTAGTGCCAGTAGCAGTAACATAGGAAGAAAGCGTCGACGATGCATGCGCCGAAGTAGCAGAGCGAGGCGGCAGTTTATCACTCTCCACGCCAGCGACCGTGTCACTATATGATTTTTCTCGTTTGTTTTCGTTAATTTCCGAATTAGCAGTGCGAGGCGGTAGTTTAGCGCTCCCTGCGCCACTGACAGAGTCACTATATGAGTTATGAGCAGCAACCACAGGCGAAACAATAGCACCACCAGGCAATGAGCATGTAGATGACGATTTTATATGATTGTTCCCATTAATTTCCGAATTAGCAGAGCGAGGCGAGTGCTAAACCTCCCCGCGCCAGTGACGGAGTCTGAGTTATGAGCAGAAGTAGTGGGCGAAGCAATAGCACCAGCAGGCAAAGAGCATGAAGATGACGAACTCAATTGTTTGTTTTCATCAGTTGCCAAATTTGAATTTTGAGCAAGGCAGCTAATAACAACAACACGCAAACCTTTGATTTCCGATAGCAAGCGAGACAAAGTAGCATCTTTAGCAACAAGATTAGTGTGCAATTCACGAATCTCCGCTTGAAGAGAGTCAGACTTTTGCAATAAACACTTATTTTCCTCATGAAGGGCACTAACAGCAGACAAGAGGCGAGCATTAACCGCTTTAATTTCGGCAAGCTCATCGGCCACAGTAGGTAAACTTTGTTGTGTAATTACGTTTCCATGAGTGTTTTTATTTTGGCACTCAGCACTCATATCCACTGCAGCAGGTGGAGGAGGAGAACGAAATGACTTACGGCGCACATCCAAACAAACATTACAAAAAAATGGCTTATCCACGCTCCGCATGTACTCAAGATCAGCCTGTTGAATGCCTACGCATTTGAGATGAAAAAACTCAATGCACTTCGAGCACTGCACTTTAGATTCAAGGCGCTCAACTTTATGCCCACAAACACAAGGCATATTAAATGGATTTACCAAAAGTTTATTCACTTAAATAAATCCAATTCTAATAAAAGAGTCACTGTCTCAGATTGATTAATATGCACCATGCCAATAAATTGCAAATAAGAACTATGGATTTTAATCAAAGAAATTTGGAGAGCGAAGAGAAACACAACTGCTCAGCGCGAACTCAGATTTGCTTTTTTGCTTTCTCGGTGATAATTCGGGCGACGGAAAATGCTCTTCCAGAAGGAGCTGAGGATGCCGAAGGTGCTAAAATTCAACAGCTCAGTTTATATAAAGTTTGGAAATCATTTTTATGGCCGCCGACAGGATTTCAATGCATGATTATCCTTGCATAATTTGCATTTGAACGAAATATGTTCTTGGGAGTGATACGATTAAATCTTCGGTGATGTTTTTTGAGCAGGAGAACTCCGTGCCCTAGTAGATTTGTAATTATGCAAACGCTCAACCACTTCGTACCGACTGGGCAGGAACTCATCCATTTGGGTCCAGTTGGGTAAGTCCTTTCTGGATTTGAGGGATTGCTCCCAGGGGGAGAAGGTTTCTCCTGGTAGCTTGGTGGAGCAAAGATAGATGAGGATAGGATCCCAATCGGAAACGGAAACACCTTGTGCTTACAGGCACGAAAGGCTATCATTAATGGTGTTTTGGATTTTCTGAATGCCTTCGCTATTTCCAGATGAAACGGGAGAAATGTTAAAAAGAATCTTCAACCGTTTGTTGATTAAAATTCTTTTATTTTCGAAACGGGTTCTTGAAGATTCCGATGCTAGAGAAAAGTTTTCATCGCACAAGGTGTAATGTTTAACTATGGCACCAGCTTTTCCCCTAGTTTTGATTCGCAAATGGTAAAGTCTTTGGCCGGGTGTTTACTTGGGATGGTTGAGATATACGGCCGTGAACATATCACGGAAAGATGGCTAATCCTCATAGCTACAGAAGAATGTTTGGGTATCACACGGAGGCACTTTGATACATGGTATCGATTTTATCGATGAAAGCCATCAACTGGCGGGAAGTGAAATTTTTGTCAGTTGGGCTGCCCTGGAAAAGCGTGAGTTGATCTAGGATATGGGATTTGCAAATGTAAAAACTATCGGTGTACAGTTGAAACTTGGCATGGGCCTTCTGTTTAAATTCGACAGGAATTGAAGTCTCTTCGGCAAGGCAGACCTTTTCATAAGAGAATCTCAACATGTCCCAACGGTAATTAAGGTCTTGCAACTTTACATCGAGTAAAGAATCGGCGTGATCTTTCGGGACTTCTTCGAAGATAGTGCAGAAATTAACAACATTATTAGAATGGAAGATAAACTTCGACATTAATGCGGAAGCTACCGACATCCTGGAGCTTGATCAGGGCTACTAAAATCGAGATCGAAAAAAATTGCTTCTTTAAATTTAATACGGAAGAAATCCCCAATTTTCAAGAAACCGATAGCAAATTCAAGGCACTATTCTCATGAGATGAGTCTATTCGCAAGGGTTTTTGTATGCCTCTAGTATTTCCAGAAGTCTATCACTTTACAATGGTCTTATCAGCCTTATACCCGAGCGCACTTGTGCACAAGGGTATATTAATTTTGTTCACATAACGGTTGTTTGTAACAGGCAAAACGAATCGAGATAGATATAGACAAATGTATACATAAATGATCAGAATGAA